GCACACTAGATTATAATATGAGAAGCAAACAGTTTCTTAAAGCGACAGTACAGCATGAAGCAATGATAATAAATTAAATTCTTCCAACAATAATCATGATTAATTGTGATTAATCATGATTGTGATCAACATCTAATAAGGGATTCATTTGATATAGAAGTGTAATTATTTGACAGTCCCAGTAGTTCTTTCTTCACTTTTTTGTGGTTTTGCTTTCATATCTTTCATCCTGTCATTTAGTCCCTCAGTGGTCACAAACGGTGGTTGTTACCGACCAGTTGATGTGGCTACATGTGTGCTTTTTGTGGCATCATGGGTAAAAATGTGTCCAGGAAGATTTTCAGAGACGCATTTGTTGTTTGTCTGCAACCAACACCACCTGCTCCTGATTTAATGGGTTTGGAAGGTTAGAGTCGGTCCCTGAGACACTTTGTGAGTCTGTGGCAAAAGTACTGCAACTGGTGAGGACACTGTCCTGAGAGTTCTGAGATGTGTAAATCAGGATGTAAAGATAGTGTAAAAAAAGTTTGTGTTTGTGTCTGTTTTTTTTCATGTCTGTCTCATTGTTGTCCACCTCTGCCTCCAAGACTGGGGGAAAAACGACTCATTTCAACATCCTGCCAGTGATGGAGCAGTCACAGCCGAAGGCTGCCGGACAACAAGCTTCTTCGAGACAAGCCTTGCATTACGTGCAGCATAGCACAACAATAATTGCCCTCCTTGTCAGTGTGTCATTAAGTCCGGCTGAGTGAAACATGGCATCCAGTTAAAGCGGCAGGCTGAGCTGAGCTCGTCCAGGCTGCACTGAAGAGAACCTGCACCAAATGCCAAATCATTCAGCTGTTTAAAACTGCAGGGATGGAGGTGAGCAGCAGGGGGAGGTGAGTGCAGAGGAGGAGGTGTGAGGTGACCTGTGTAGGTTGCGAAAGTGCACGTACGCAGCATTCATATTGGCAGGAAGTGCTCAAGTCTATCATTACTTTTAATCATCGTCAGAATATTTGTACTGCAGCATCAATGTTAATGCGCACAGTACGTTAGTAATTTATCACTACATTATGTCAGGGCCGTGGCGCTGTCATTGGTGTGGACCTCCTGGGCAAGTTTGAATCCCGGTTAGGGCGGTTGGTACCTTCCAGTGGAGTCACCACCCGCAGGAAGGTTCAGAGGGTTGGTATGGTGCAGTGTGATTTGGGTGGCGGTCATGGAGACTGCTGCCCCTGCGACCCGGTAACGGATAAAAGGATGAAAATGGATGGATGGATGGATTACGTCAGGGCCTTTATAAAAATATAATTTAATTAAAGCAACTTCACAAACATGTATTCTTTCTTGTGATCATGGAGTGAGTCGCGACCCTCAGGTGGGTCGCAAGAGATTTTTTGGGGGGTCGTCTCGCATCATGTTTCAGTCTCAGGAGTTTACGAATAATGTCTATTGACTTAAGCAAAGGTTTGTGACTTTTAAAGAACCATCGACGGTTTAACCCCCGGCGAATAATCACCATCACTAAGTTGATAAAAAGCAGAAAACATTTTAATAAAATGGTAACAGTACAAATAACATAACATCAACAGAAAGTTACACATGCAGAGAGTTGATGTGAGCCAGATTGTTCACACACACACACAAAAAAGGATGACAAAATGACATAAACATATCAATTTATATATATATATAAAATGAAAAAAAAAACAAAAAAAATATTTATTTATTTTTTCAACCGATCAGAGCAGAGTAGGCCTCCACGTTTGTAACAGGACATGACATCAGCCACATGGGATGAACGATGTTGAGCAAACCATCTTTTAAATCTTTTATTAGACATGTCCAGGCCTGTGTGTGTGTGTTCAGTAATTATCATGAGTGATAACTTAAAGAGTCTTAATGACCGTTTCTGTGCCTTTAAATGCATCTGTATTGACTGTAAATGAGGATCAAGTCATGTAGGGCAGATTCAGTGTTACATCACGTCCAATTAGATAGTCCGACTGATGGCCACGCTCCCCTGTTTTACCAACAACAATACAGTCATTACTGTGTATAAACACTTTGTCTGTAAAAACCTGTTTGTGTAAAATGGTAAGAATAAAAAAAAGTGTGTGTTTCTGTGTGTGTGTTTCCGTGTGTGTGGTCTTTCAGATGCATTCGGCGTGGGAACCCAGAGAGTGGCTGAAGGAGCGGCTGGATGAATGGGTAACTGAACGGATGGGCGTCGTGCGACAAGGGGCAGGAGTAATGTTTCACGCAGCCGACCGTCGGCGGATGACAAATGCTCCTCTCTGCAGCTGTCCAAGGTAGATCCTCATCTTTGTGCTGTCACTCGTTTTCCTTACCCAAATCTGCAGAACACAAGACAAGCGTAGAATATACTACGTGACCCAGCACCCCCTAGCTGTAGGAAGACATTTTCACCACAAAAATAATGTCCTGAGAGACCGTTTGAACCCTGGGTCATTGGGGTGAGGGCACCCTGGACAGTTGCTCGGTTAGAATTAGTTAATTTGGTACAGTGGTTCCAAAAGTGTGGGGCCCGGAGTTATTGCAGGGTCACACAAGGTCAAATAATTTCCATTCATACATCCATCTATCATCAACCGCTTATCCGGGACCAGGTCGTGGGGGCAACAGTCTGAGCAGGGACAACCAGACTTCCCTCTCCCTCGACACTTCCTCCAGCTCTTCTGGGGGGACCCCAAGGCGCTCCCAGGCCAGCCGAGCGACGTAGTTGCTCCAGCGTGTCCTAGGTCTTCCCCTAG